TGCTTTTTGCAAAGTCCAGAGTTTGCATTCTAAAAGGATGGTGTGTGCATCCTAAAAGGCAAGCTCTGCTGCTTCTTGGCTTTGTGACCTTGGACAGGTCACTGTTCATTCCTCATTTGGAAAACAGTGATTGAAATAACCGTTTGACCATAAGGCAATTATTTGGTGCCAGCTTCTGACCTAAGAACTATTGAGATTTAAAAAACTAAATAAGCCACAGCTCTTGGCCTCAAAATGTTTTTCCTATAGAGTAAATTTAAAACATATGTTATGTCTTATAACAGCTCTGATCTTATTTTCTTCAGTGAAAATTATACTCCCTATTGCTTTCAATGTAGGTTTTAATTCTTTGATTGCATTTTTAGTTGTCTTGTGGTCTTTACCATTTCCCCTTTCTTCTCATTCCCTTGTTCTTTCATCTTAATCATTCTTTCCTAATAAATTTCTGGCCTATTTCATAGAGATATGCCTTTAAACAAAAATTCTGGCTAGGAACAGTGGTTCATGCTTATAATCTCAACACTTTGGGAGACCAAAGTGGGAAGACTGCTTGAGGCCAGGAGTTTGAGACCAGCCTTGGCAACACAATGAGACCCCATCACTACAAATTTTTTTTTTAATTAGCTGGGCATGGTGACATGTGCTTGTATAGTCTTGGCTACTTGGGAGGCTAAGGTGGAAGGACAGCTTGAGCTCAGAAGTTCAAGGTTACAGTGGGCTATGATTAGGCCACTGCACCACTGCATTCCAGCCTGAGTGACAGAGAGCAAGATCCAGTCTTTGAAGAAAAAAATTTAAAAAGATTCTATTCGATATGCTACAAAATTCTCTAACATTTTCATTTGGTTTCAGTAGTTAATAGTTTTCAAGAGGGCTTTCCTTTAAGTGTTCACAATGGTATTTCTTTTCCTTTGTATGTAATGATTTTCCCATGGACTATTATTTTCAACATTTATTCTAACTAGACAGGTATACATGTTCAGTATTTCCAAGCATACAGTACACATGATTTGCTCTTATTCCCCACTCACTGCATACTTGAATTTGCCTCTTCAGATCTATAGCTAAATGCCAATTCCCAGAGTATAGCAGTTTTTATTTTCTGTAGCTTTGTTAGACTGACGTAGATCAGCACTGCCTGGCTTTCCAAGCCTAGAACTAGTACTGCAGACTACACCCTTTCTCCCGTTTACACAACTACTAAGGCTTTTCCTATGTGGCCCATTAACAGATCCTTAGAATGCAAGCCATCCCCATCCTCCTAATTCACACTTCCTGCTTGGGTGAATTCTTGGGCTGGCAGTTTTCAAATGGATTGAACTGAAAGGGTGGCTGAGAAAAGGGTCGTGGGGGGTATCTAGGAATTTAAACTCACTGGCTGCTTTCCAAAAACAAAACAAAAAAACCAACCATCAGCAGTAAAGTAGAGGGATAGCTGTACTGTTTTTAGGTTTAAAAGAACCTGTGCTTTTATGCTAGGGAGCAGAAGGTGGCAGGTCCAAACTCTTTCCATGTTGGATCACACATTAACTTTGTTCTTATGTCATATATTATGTTATCAAACAAGTTGCATGCATTATTTAGATACCAGAAAATCCACCCAGATTTTCTTTGGGAATATCAACTCTAGTTTTCCTGTTGAACATCATCCTAACTCCTAAAGCCTGCATGAGTTCATGACTTTTTTGCATTTTTAAAAATATTTTCAAGTGAAGCAGAAAAAGGCTATATCAGGGTTTGCTAGCCCAATGCCATATAAAAACAATTCAAAAGTCAGAAACTTACTGAGCATCTCCTTCAGCTTGCACTGATTATTACAGAGATCACACTGTAAAATGATTATATATACACACATACACACACGTACAATAATTACCTCCCCTCCTTTTATGTGAACTTAGGACAGGTACTTTTCCTTTTTCTTTGTATTACCTGGGCTTAGCACAGGCCTGCACATAGCAGGTATACAAGAAAAAAAAAACCACAGTGAATGGGTAAATGTTTAACAAAGCAAGAAAAGCGTCACCTGAGCAGAGAGTGGAGAAGTAGGAGAATCCAATGCTGCCGAAGCAGGACTAAACAGATATCCAGTGGTTTTCCAAGAAAACGTTTTCTTTTTTATCATTAAGGTAAAATGCTACAGGCAATCTACCATTGATTAGACAATGGCACCAGGAGCCAAAATTGTAGACATTCACATGCCATGCTCTCTTGCCTCTAGAATACTGCACACGCTATGATTCCCTTAGCTTCAAACCCCCTCCCAGCTTCACTCAATGTCAATGTTACTTCCTGTATGGAGCCTTTCCTGACTGCTGGGACCAGGTTGGGAAATTGTCTTCCATGTATCTGGAGAGCCTTGGGCGGTGAAGGACATCTGGAGCTTAAAACCACCTCTCCATTCCCTGTTTATATATTCTGTCTGCCTCCCAAAGATGGTGATATTCCTGAGGGCTGGGATTGTGTCTAGTTACTCTTATATTCCCCACCAACTGTAACGGAGCCTGTATTTGTTTGATGAACAAACATTCTCATAATTATGATTCAATGGGAGCTTATCTTAATTTACTTGGATATTAATATTGGTATTAATGGATAGTAAGATTAAAGTATGGATAGTAAAGATTAAAGTAGCCATTTAATTCACTAGGTATAGTAAATTCTTCATATGTTTGTTTTATCTAAAGCAACAAATGACCTCTTTATTATCTCCATGTTGCCTATAAATTATAAATAAGTACATACTGAGCACTCACTATGTGTCCAGGAAAATGTTTTAGTAGCCAAAAGAATAAATTGCGTATAGATCTTGCTTTGTTGCAATTTTCCTGCAATTCCAGTTGCTATTAATGTTTTATCAAGCACTCCCCCACCCCCAACCTTAAACATGCTGCATAAAGGTAGGTATTGTTGTACCTCACTTGTATCTACAGCAGTGCTTGGCACACAATAGGCACCCAACTAGTATCTGCTGAGTGAGTGCTGGAGATAAGCTTAATTGTAGGTCCCGGCAAAAGGATACAACATGATAATAGAAGAATTTCAGGGTGATTATTTTGATGTTTTCTAAAACTGGACTGAAGGAAGGAGATTTGGAGTGAAGTATCTAGGTCAGAATTGCCTTCCTTCCATCTTATGTAGGTCATGTCCTCCTCCCAGTGTTGTGATGCAAGTTAATGGAGTGATAGCTATTCCACTGTGGCCCAACCCAAGGACAGTTATACAGGGAAATCATTGCCAAGAAATATCAAGTGATGTATGAGGTATGTGAACAAGCATACAACTTTTGAATAAAGTAAAAATACCCAGGATTTTGAGATACAATTGGGCACATGTCCCCATGTAAGAAGTTCCTTTTGGTGTGTACACACTTTCTCATGATATGAGAATTCTTCCGATCACTCCATTGATTTCATTGGAATTACATTCTGCATTTGGGTCAACTTTATTAGAATATCTTCTGATGATAATTCTTAGGTCTTGGATGTCAGGATTGGTTTTAAGAAATTAATAAAAGCTACTAGGAGACATGAAGCCTGACATGCTGGGTATTGATGTTGGATATGACAGATGTTGGCTAGGGAAGGCCCCAGGTCAGTTTTATCTAAAGCAACAAAGGACCTCCAGAGCAATGACCATTTTACTGTGCAACACTGCTTTGTTTGGGGGTCATTTAAAACACTGCCAAGCTTCTTCCTCAACATTTTAAGTATCTAACTGTATTTGGTTTCAGATATTTGTTTCTGATTAAGACACTTATTTCTGTACCCATATGAAATGTGTTCTTCCCCTACCCCCTGCTTACACACAGAATTGGTTATGTGAAAGCACGGCTTTCTAGGTGTGGCCTGTTGTCACATGGCCCTCTCTGGACATTCCTCTTCTGCCTCTATAAACAAGGACACCAAGCTCTTGATTTGTTGTGAAGGCATGCCTCACGGACTCCAGATCAACATAACCTTTGCCATGTCTAATATTCTGTTATTTTCACCATGACTCTCTTTTAGTAATAAAAGTTGATTATGTCCATAGGTAATGAAAGTAAATTTCAGGTCTTCCTGTTGGCATCATAAAAATATTTAAAATAATCTCAATAAAACTAACCACAAAATTGTAGTATTTTGAGTCTTGAATTCTTGATTCCTTCAGGCCTGCTTCACTGTTACGCAGCTTCCTTTGCATAAGCCTTGCCTTGTTTACAGCCTCTGTTCTGAACTCTCTGCCTTAACATACCTCACACCGTCTCAGCTTTATGACACTTTCCTGGTTCCTGCATTCATGGCTTATTTTCTTATCTGTGGCCTCAGCTGGACCCTCCTCTAGCTTTGACCTGCTTCATCACACCTCAAACACGATTCTTCTGGTATTAAAGATGTCATTATTTTATATCTCAACTACGGTGGTTGAAAGTTCTCCCACCAAGTTCATCTGGCTCCTCTAGCAGGGCCTAGAATATCCACAGAGGAAGTGATTCTAAAGGCCACTAAGAGCAGGATTTATTCTCCAACAGAAGTTACAAATTGTATTTACTTATGACAAAGTTTAATCTGAAATCCTAACTATATTAGTGTAGACTCTGACCAGCCCTGACTCAGAGCCTAGGCAGATGTATGACTGTGACCAGCAACACCATGGGTGGTAATATTTACTGGGCAACCTAAAGTAGCAGTTGGAAAACATGACTTGACAAACTGATGTAAATGCCAAAATTACATAGGCGTGACTTTTAGCCACTCCACAGGACAAAGAGGCAGCAGTAGCTGAACATAGGAAATGCTGCTTTTAATGCTTTCAAGGTTGGCTCAGAAACAATGAGAACTTTCAGCAGCTCATCTCAGGGACAGCAACCGCCTTCACAACAGCAATGCATCTGCACAAAGCCAGTGGATTGTTGGCCTGTTTTATTTTTCTCCTCTTCCTTTTTCCTCACTTTGCCTCTTCCAAACTTGGTATCCCTTTGGCCTGCCTTCACACACGTGCACGCACTAGCTGTTACTTACCATGCCCTTTAGCGTCAGATCTGCTAAGGGAGACCGGTTGCCATGGAAATCTGGCCAAACATGTAAATCAACAGTAAGGAAACCCACAGGCTGAGCTTTCTTAATCAGATCCAGGTGACTGTTCAAATATGCATATATACTCTGGCATCTGGAAGAGAAGTGAATTTTATTTTTAAAAGGGGGGTGGGGTCAGGGAGCGAATCATTGTATAGAAAGACACCATTTGTACTTCCATATCAGATCCAGGAAAGTAAGCAGGCTTCTAAAAGCTTCAGAGAAACTAGCAAACTGTACTCTAAATGACACTATACTATCACCAAGAAAGGCGCCACGGCCTAGCAGAAAGGCTTGGATTCAGAAGACTGGATCCAGGAATGGCTTTACTCTTAGCGGGTGTGCGGCCATGAGAAAGTTATTCAAACTCTCTCAACCACCCTCTTTTCATCTGTAAAAACAGCTATCGTAATCCCTGTCCAACTTACCTCATAGGGTTACTGTGAAGATCAGAGAAGATTATGGATGTGAAGGCACAGTATTTTATAAACTGTACAATACTGTACATATGTCAATAATTTATTAACATCAGTATTCCTAGTTGTAATAATAATGATGAGTTGACTAATGAAGAGAAATATAAGTTCCCACACTGAGGATAGGATTTTGCTAAGGAAAGTGACTGAATATTATGAATACAGTTAGGATCAGAATCAGAGAACTGACTTCCAACCTAAACCTACCAGATGTCATTGACATTGTGTACATTTTTACCTCTTTTCTTACTCTCTCTCTCTTCTTTTTTTTTTTTGGAGACGAGTTTCACTCTTGTTGGCCAGGCAGGAGTGCAATGGCACTATCTCGGTTCCCTGAACCCCCTGCCTCCTGGATTCAAGTGATTCTCCTGCCTCAGCCTCCCCGCCTGGCTAATTTTTTTGTATTTTTAGTAAAGATGGGGTTTCACCATGTTGGCCAGGCTGGTCTTGAACTCCTGACCTCAGGTGATCCCCCCATCTTGGCCTCCCAAAGTGCTAGGATTACAGACATGAGCCACCACACCTAGCCTTTTTCTCCTTTTTAAGTCTCGATTTCTTCATGTGTAAAATGAGGGAGTTAGACCAATTCCCTCATTCTTCACATGTTCAGGTGAAAAGGAGGTGGAGCAAAGATGATGAGCATGAGAGCTCTGCTCGGTTCAGATCTTGGTACTACCTATCTTAGCTCAGTAACATGGGCCAGTGACTTAACCTCTCTGATCTCCAATTTTCCCATTCATAAAATAGTTTAATAACACCTACCTTGCTGGGTCAAATCACACCACATGGCACAAAGATTAAAGCTGGTCAGCCTTCCCCCTTAAAAGGTGCTGCCCTTCTAAAAGTTGTGAACCAATGATTTCAAAAGAAAGTGGGTATTCCAGCAGTTGGGCTCTGTGCTACTTCCCACTAGGGCCCTTGGAAGTCTCTTTAAAGGTTAAAAACATGGCTTGTATAATGGCAGAAAAAAAAGTATAGGAAATCAATGACCAAAGGAGGTTATCTAAAATACCTAAGGCATTATTTATGTTTTGCATTTTAAAAGTGTTTTAGAAGGAAGGCTCAGCGATTTCTAGTTCTAGTTTGTGGTCAGGAGAGTGTCCCCATGGATCCCATGAAGTTGCCAAAAGTTTTCTAAACTTGGTGTAAGGAAACAAGTAAATGTTAGAACAGTAATTTTTAAACTCTCTTTACTTCCCCTTTATCAGAACTCTTTTATTAAAAATTTTATGTGAATATTCAATGTAAAAATACCAAAAAGCAAAGGTGCTCTGTGTGAGCATGAGTAAATGTGAATACATGTATATGTGTGTGTGTGAGTGCATGTGATGTGTGCTAGTGTGGTGGTGAGGGCAGCCCTATCGCCCTACCTACTAGCAGTTTATTTGCTTCTTGCTGTAATAGCTCATTCGCATCTGCAAAAATCTTCTTCCTTAGACCATATTAGGAGCAATAAGATATTACTGGGAAAAGGCTTAACAACTACAGCTGCCATTCCCTAAGCATACACCAGACCTTCCAGCACTGCCCAGTGTGGGAGGTATCACTAATATCTCTTTACAGGGGAGCTGCTTGAAGGGGTGAAGAGGCATGTCTGAGTCCGGATTTAAACCTTTCTCCTTGTGATTCTGAAGCCGTGGGCTCTCTGTATCTTAGGTAAGAAGTTGTTTATCAAGGACCCAAAAAGTCAAAACCCTGTTTTAGAATGATTGTATTATGGCTTCGGGAAAGGAACTTCTGAAGCCTCCATACAAGGCAGAGCCAGGACATCAGGGAACATGAATACGATAATCTCCCGGCTTTCCAGCTCTTTGCTCTCTCTGCTCCTGGTCCAGCAGGAATCACATTCATAAGACAAGCCTCGAGAAACATCTTTTCTAGCCAAAAGTCAAGAGTCTGCACTAATTCTTGCAACTTTCCACTTCAGAATAGACACTGCTCTTAAAGTAAAGGGATTTTTTTTAAGGAAGCAAACATCTATAAATCTTTTCATTCTGCCTCTCAAGGCATCTGTGAGCAGGGCATTTGGTTTCGGACATCTGGGTCAATAAGAATCTATAGGCCTAATTACTATTGATTCGTCATTGTCCCATTTACTTCAGGTCTTTGCAAACAGTGAGATTCATTTAGCCTCTACATATATGGCCACTCATGCACTAATGAGATCCCTGGGGGATGGGGCATATGCTTACCCCTTTGACTCCTAACCTCCTTGCAGCTGTATGTTTATTCTTTGAATGCAGCCATTCCCCTACATGTTTTTTCAATTATACCTTACCATGTGTGCTATCTGAGTATATCATTCAAAATGAAATGCACTTGGAAGACATTAAACTAATGCACATCATTATTCACATAATTGTAACCTTGTATGATGCCTTTTTTTGGTTGTGATTTTGTTTCATTTTGCATGTTTTATCAATTCCTTCTCAAATGGCAGCCTGCCCTCTTCTAGCTAGGTAATCACACATGAACTGTGATCCCAAATGGATCACTCTCCCTCTCTCTCATGAACCCTAGGCTGATATATCCTGTCTCAGAGGGAGAAGGTTTTGCTGGCCACATCCCATTGGGTATTACGAAGAAAATATAGTTTCAGTAATCATAAAGTGACTTCACCATGTACCAGCTGGATGATCAGGTAGGCAAACCCTCTCTGATCCTATTTACTTTTCTGCTACTGGGGCTAATACTCTCTCCCCAAAGACTGCTGTGAAGATTAAACATAGAGCCCTGAGCACTATAACATGACAGGTTATCAATAAATACTTTCCTCTTCTTTGCCATCATAAGAAACTCATTTCCAGTTTAAAGAATCAAGGAACATTTTTTTCAGACCTTATTGTTTATAATCTTAAATGCAGACAGCATCCCTGAAATCTCTCATGTCCTCCCCGTCTTCATAAATCACCTAATTCATTGGGTTCACAGGCTTCCCGGAGTATGGTGGCCATACTGTTAAACCAAAAAATCAGAACACATGGTATAACAAAAGATACTTGTGCCCTTTCTAGCAGTAAGAGGAAGTCTTAGAAAAGAAGTTTCCATACTGCCTGTCTCTAGTTCCTTACTTCTTAACCCAATACCTTGTGCATTCTGCCTCTCCCATTCAACTGAAACTGGTCTCACCATGAGGAACAATATTCCCCTTATTTGTGCCCATGAACCATTTTCTGCATTTTACACCATTTGACCACTTCTTCCTCATTTGTCCTCTTGTTTCTGAAACACTATACTCTCTTGATTTTCCTCCCTCCTCTTTAGCTGGTTCTCCTTCTTCACTTGTTCATTAAACATCTGATGTCTTCCAGAGACCTACTGTCTTTGACCATTTTCTTACTCTTTATTTAGCCTTGGATGATCCTATCCTCTTCTCATGGCTGCAGTTACCATCTAGTGCTGAGGACTTTCAAATGTATGACCTGCTCTCCCATCTATTTCTCTCTTATATGTTCCACATTAAGTATCCAACTACAAGTATCAAAAGTGCCTCCTCTTAGAAGTCCAAAGACAACTCAACTAAGAATGTCCAGTCAGGCTCTCTGCACTCTTTCCTGTCCTCAAAGAAATAATAGAAGAATTCAGGAAAGAAGGAAAAAAGAAAGGTTGAGGGAGAAAAAAAATATGCACAAGCTCATTATTCTAAAACTATGAGATCCATTATACTTCAGGTCTTAGAAAAAAATAGGCATAGCAAAGACAATTTTAAGGGCTTTGAAACTAGTGTTCTGTATCTCCTTGTTTATCTCTAATTTTCATCAGAACATTTATAAATGGCTGGCTATATATGTATATATGTGTGTATAAGTATATAGTATGCATATTTGCATGTATGTACATGTATATATGTATATGTGTGTATATATTTTTATGAAATCAAAGACTTTGCTTGGTTCATTCATGTATCATTAATGCTCAAAAGATACTCATTAGACAGATGAGCCACAGAGCCTGGATTTTAACTTTTGCTTTGCTGCCAACCGTGAATCTAGTACTTGTGGATTATGCCAATAGCTTCTCACTAACCCCTGTTGTTACCAGAACCTCATTCAGAGAAACTGTTAGTTAGGGTTCCCTAAGAGAATCAAGTTTGGAGGAAAAGAGTTAAAGTTTATGATCAACATAAGGTGATCTCTGCTAAAGACTGAAATATCTGCATATTTGGCCCCATATAAAGAGAAACTTTGGTTACCAGTTACATGTACAGGCACATCTAGTTCTTGTTTACTTAATTTATAAGCTCACAAAACACTTCTCTTCAGAGATGGGGCATAAGACGATTGTGGTAAATCAAGAGTATAAAATACGCAATCTGTTTATCAACACTTGTTTCCACAGTTTCAAACAGGATTTGCTGACCCTAGGCTCTGAGATAGGGGTGACCTGCATTGCTGTTTTCTGAAAGCCTCAAGTCATAGCAAAAGAGATACATGGTTCTTGATTCAAAAGGAGTTGCCCTCCCTTCCAAACAGCTAACTTCATTTTAACTACAGCTATGCCTATTTCTTTCTAAGATCTGAAGTATAATGGGTCCCATAGTTTTAGAATATCGTACTCATAGATCTAACGAGATACAGATGCACTTTCCTTTGTAAGATAATAAAAGAAAAGTGAAAGGAAGCAGGACTAACATTTACTAAATACCTATTAAGTATCTGGGCTGGATGCAAAAGAGTCCTCAAAATATAGAAAGAAATGAAGTCAAGAACATAGTTGAGATCACCTTGGAAGAGATGGCAAAGAGAGAAGCTATCTGTGATAAACGTTAATGTTAATGGTCAAGAAAAGAAGTATAAACTCAAGAAAAGCAGATTCGAAAGGAGGAATCAGAGATATAGGAAGAAAACAGAGAGGGCAACATTCCAGAAAGCCAAGGAAAGATAATGTTAAAAGGAGGAAAAAGTTATCACTGATGTCCCATGCTGCTGAGAACTCAAGAAACGGAAATAAGAAACATCCTATGGACTTAGCAAAATAGAGGTCACTGATAACCTTAATATGTAATGTTTCAGGGGGCTGATGGTGACAGAATTCAAACTGAACTGGGCAAGGAAGGAGTAGAAAGTGGGCAAATAGAGACCAAGAGTACAGGCAATGCTTTGGCGAAACTTCACTCTAAATAGAAGGAGAAATACAGGAAGTAGCTGGAAGTATAAAGTTATGTGAAAAGAGGTGAGATTTAAATTCAGTTCTGACCCCATGACTGAATTCTGTAAGTTGCTGTTTCTGAACCACCTTATACTGTTGTTTCTCTGTGTTTGCATGCTAATCCATAAATTCTGCCCTCTTTTTATTATGATTTGCAACAGAAGCTACTCAAATGAAGTTCATCTATAGAAAAAAGTTCTGGAGTTTTTGAGTATGTCATTGTAAAACTAATTATTTACTAAGTCTGTGTTAAGCACTAAAATGTTCACATACAGACATTCCTGTAACCTGCTTTCATCCTAGTAAGGCATGTAAAATGAATTAAGTTTAGAGGAAAAGAGTTAGAGTTAAAGGGTAGTATTATTGTAATTTATGGGTGAGGAATCTAGGAGTCATTGAGACATTCATGGCAGAACTGGTACAAGAACCCAAGCCTTCTAATTCCCAGTCCCTGTCCTTGCTATTCTTCCATGCTTTCCACAAGAAGGCAGGCAGGGTATGAGTTACTGACATCTGCTGCTTGAACCCAGAGCAACCACCATCAAAACTTCCTCCTCTTATAATCATTAATAGTAACAGTAGTAGGTGATATGATTTGGCTGTGTCCCCACCCAAATCTCATCTTGAATTATAGTTCCCATAATCCCCATGTGTTGTGGGAGGACCTGGAAGGAGGTCATTCAATCAAGGGGGTGGTTGCCCTCAGGCTGTTCTTGTGATAGTGAGTGACTTCTCAGGAGATCTGACAGTTTTATAAGGGGCTTTTTTCCTTTTTGCTCAGCACTTCTCTTACCTGCCACCATGTGAAGAAGGATGTGTTTGTTTCCCCTTCCAGCATGATTGTAAGTTTCCCGATGCCTCCCAAGCCCACAGAATTGTGTGTCAATTAAACCTCTTGTCATTATAAATTACCTAGTGTCAGGTATTTCTTCACAGCAGTACAAGAATGGACTAATACAGCAGTAGTAGTTGTAGTAGTGGTCATCATCATTGTCATAATTCAGTTTACAAAGCCCGGCAAACTAAGTCTCCTGTCAAATGTATTACCTCTTCTAAGCTAAAAATAATTCCTTAAAGGTATCTCGGTCTGATTCTTCACTACTATTCTATATTATAATGAGGAAAATGGGTTTCACAGAATGATATATGTTGGAGCTGAGATTTGAATCCAGATCTCTGAACTATAAATCTAGTGCTATGTTCTTTGGCTTAGTGATTTTGTAAATGCTTAATCCCTTTAATAAAATAATGACCATTACGGCCTCCTTCACATAAATGCATGCAGAATTATGTAATCAACAAAACAGGGTACAATTTCAAGAGGTTAAATGATGATCTGAAATTAGGAATCCCTGTTCTAGGTTATAGGTCTCTAGGCCAACTAATATGCTAGTTGATAAGGTTATGTGGCATAATCCCTCTCAATGGTAATTGCAATTAATGACTAATTGCAATGGCATTGTAACTAAAGACATTCCTAGAAGGGAATGCTTATGAAGCTTTTCTCAAACTCCTTATCAAGATCAGTCCTCCTTTTCTACACACCCTGATGACACACTACTTATATTTTAGTAGAGTATGCATTAATTCTGCTCTATGTAGGTGTGCTGACCCTTTTAGAATGTAAGTCATTAGAATGGAAATGTCTAATAGACTAACTACAACAATGATTTTTATCACTACCATTTTTTAATGGAACATCTATTACAGCTTGACGCTTAATTATCACTCTGTCAGCCACTATTCTAATTCATTTAATTTTCTCAACAACCTTATGAAGCATTTACTATTACTCCCTTTACAGTGAGGTACTAAGGCACAGAGGTTAAGTAACTAGCTCAGAAACACACAGTGAACAAGGAGCTAAGCTGAGGCAAAGGCAATTTGGCTTCAGAGTCTATTAATGGCCACCTCAGACTATTTCTCTTTTGTCCTATGCTAGCTACATGGGTTTCTCTGATAATTCTATAAAAAGTATCTTCCTTTTCTTAAACAGCCTGACAATGGAGCATTATTATCATGAAATTCATTAATTTATTATTTTTTAAACTTTTTCTTTCAAAATAATTTTAGAGTTACACAAAAGTAGCGTTCCCTTTTACCCATCACCTAATAAATTAACATAAACAACAATATTATTAATCTCTATTTGAATTGCAACAGTTCTCCTCCACTAATGTCCTTTTTCTGGTCCAGAGTCTAATCCACTATTATATATATTGTTTCTAGTTGTAGTACCTCCCTAAGTCTCCTCCAATCGAGAGTAGTTCTTCAGTATTTAAGTTCCTTAATTTTCCTTTGAAGCAAACTATCTAATAGCTTTGTGGAATGTCTCTCAATTTAGGTCTGTCTGATGCTTCCCATATTTACATTGAGTTTAATCAGTTTGGGCAAGAACATGGCAGATATGACGTTGTGTCCTCATCGATGCATCATAAAAGGAGACACGTGATTTTACTACATGTTATTGCTGGTGTTGCTAACCTTCATCACTTGGGTAAGGTGGTGTCTGCCATATCTATTTACTGGAAAGTCATTATTTTCCTCTTCATATTAATTAGAATCTTGCGCTGAAAACCTCTGGGATTATGACAATATCCTGCTTCCCACTTTTACTCACTAATTTTAACTTCGATTGATGGTTCTTGCCTGCAACATTTATCTCTGTAGTGTTTACCTAATGATTATTTTCTATTTCCATTATTTATTCTATATTTATTTATTTATTTATTTTTGAGACGGTGTCTTGCTCTGTCGTCAGGCTGGAGTGCAGTAGCATGATCTTGGCTCACTGCAACCTCCGCCTTTCGAGTTCTCCTGCCTCAGCCTTCTGAGTAGCTGGGACTACAGGCACAAGCCACCACGCCCAACTAATATTTGTATTTTTAGTAGAGACAGGGTTTTACCATGTTGGCCAGGAAGTTCTCAATCTCTTGGCTTCATGATCCTCCCGCCTCGGCCTCCCAAAGTGCTGGGATTACAGGCGTGATCTTCTACATTTATTAATTGTAAGGCTACTGTTCTGACAGTGAAGAGGAAGACCTGTCCTTTCTTTCTCATTTATTTCCTTCTTCAGTAATTTACTTATGGAGTTATTTACTTACCGACTTATTTCATGCTATTACTGTTTATTTTATTCTGAGTAGGCCACTGAGAGATTCTTAAAGCTAGTTCAAATGTACTTTGAAAATTCCTTGTGGAGTAACTTATTTCTTTCTGGCACCATAATTTTACTGCCCCAACTCTAGACTTAGCCAACTTTTTAAGAAGTCCTGATTACTTTTACTGGAGAAATGGGAGAATGGTATTTAGAATCCAGTATCTGGGAGCTAGGTATACACATTGCTACTACGGTGTCATTGCTTCCAGGCCACCTCAGCACAGAGAGGTAGGGAGCATATGCATGTTTATTCATGCATGAATATATATATATCTATATTTACTTATATATATATATATATATATATATATACACACAACTGTGTGTGTTTATACATATACACATATATAATCATAAGTTGCTACTGACATCTTCAGGTTCATTCTAAGCTTCTCCTTTTCTCATTTGTGAGGTACTTGGCTCTCATTATCCACAGTATATTGATTTCTTCACTCAGTTGTAGCATACACTTAAAGAGATGTCAATACAGCTAACCCAGATATCTATGAAAAACAAATTTACCAATTAGAGTATAATATTTATGGATGGTTATTTTTCTCTTTAGCAATATCGTGTACATCAAAATATTCTTTCCCAGATTTACTTAGGTTCTTTTTTTTTTCCCAACCCCCTTTGTAATACAGTAGGTTCAGTTTTTACTGTGTGTATTTCATTTTGTCCACCCCAGCATACACATATATCCTGGCTATTTATCTATCATCTATTTATCAAGCGATTGGAGACATGAGGCATCACAATGATTCTAAGAGTTACAGTTATATAAAGATGTATACTCAGAGAAGCGTCATTTCTTCCTGCTACCATGTTCCCATTCCCACATTCCTTCCACCACATTCCTACCATACCCTGTAAGTAACCAATCTTATTAGTTTCTGGTTTAAACTTCCTGTATTTCTTTTGCAAAAATGAATAGATACACACGTATTTCCTTATGTCTTTCTTTTTACATGAAAGGAAGTACATTGTAAGTACTTTTCACACTCGATTTTCTTCAAAATATTCTAGAAATCACTCCATATCAGATATTATCTTCAGTTTTACAGATAAAGACACAGGTGTAAAGAGGTTAAGTAACTAGCTCAAGGTCCTATGTCTATTAAGGAGTAAGGATGGGATGTGAATCTAAGAGGTTTTGACTCTAGAATCCATGCTCTTCCTTCTACATCAAAGTTTCTTATCCATAGTTCTTGGGGAATCTCTAGGTTCTTTAAGTTCTCTTACATCATTTAAAGAATTAATATATGTATCTTCTGGATCATCCAGATGACTATCTTTTAAGCACTAACAGGCATCTTTATTGTCCATAGGATCTGAAAATCCCCCAACAGCCCAAAGTGAATGCTCTCAGTACAGTCACAGAAGGAAAGCTTTAGAGTAAACAGAGATAGCAGTTACCTGGCTGTGGCCTTCGCTTGTAGTTCTGGGAAAGCAGCATGGCCTTGTACCATGTGGTCTATCTGAAAAGTAAGAGATGGGTCAATTTTGTAGCTTCTTTAATTTACATAGGAGATAGAAAAATTTACATTAAAACGAGTGTATGTTTCTTTCAACTCTTTGTCCACACAGGATCTAAGAACATTAACATGCCAATGTGGCAAGTGTGCCTCAGCTAAAATAAATTTAGCTTTGATTAACCTAGTGCTAGTGCTAGCCTCTTAAATATATAAAACAAGGAAGTTTAGAGAGAAGAGTAAAAGGAAATGAAATTCCCAAGGCTAAACTGGTAAAAGCAGGTTAGCAACAGGCTCAAGAATGAAGAGTAAGGAAGAAAGGGTAACTTAACTCAACTGGTGGGGGGTCTGAGTGTCAAAAGCACTAACCTTTTCTGGATTACATCATCCAGGCTGTCATCCCTGGGCAATGTCAAACCGTGAATTACTCACTGTGTCTTACTAATGGAGAAGATGGATAAAGACTATGTCCCTCATTTAAAAAAATTTTTTTGAAACCCTTAGTTAAGGATAACAGAAAAGTGAGATGGCCCAGAGCTGTCAGGAGAAACTCTTCTGACTGAAAAATCATCACATGGGAAACACAGCTCTCCAAGGACAGAAATATCTGAGCTCTGAAGACAATCATCTTCTCATTTGAAATCCCAGGTCTAGGATCTTATTCCTTAATCCACTTGGTGGCTCTAAACAAAATAGTATGAAATAGGTATTAGGACAGAGATGTTTCTCCACGCACACCCAAGCAACACTGTGCTTGAATTCCTGAACCTCATCTGTGTATTTTCTGAATGTTTACTTGAGTTTCTAGGATGCTAAAACAACCATTCTGATAGAGTTATTTTCATTCCAACTAGGAAAAGACTTGCTCTTTTGGCTTCACAGGGATAGGCCCTCTGAGCATGTTTCCTGAGAGCTAGGGCTGTATAAAGAAGAAGATTATTTGTTCAGGAGCCACAGAGGCCAGGTGTGGGTTCTGGCTCGGAATTTCACTAGCTGAGTGACTTTGTGCAAGTCACTAAACTGTTTTGAACCTTCATGGCATGCTTTTAAACAGGATTTTGAGGAAGTTAAGTGTGTCTACTTGACATGGTTTGTCTGTGTCCCCACCAAAATCTCGTCTTGAATTTTAGCTCCCATAATTCTCACATGTTGTGGAACGGACCTGGTGGGAGACAAATGAATCATGGAGGCAGTTTTCCCCATATTGGCCTTGTAGTAGTGAATAAGTCTCATCAGGTCTGATGGTTTTATAAGGGATTTTCTCTTTGACTTGATTCTCATTTTCTCTTGCCTGCTGCCATGTAAGACTTTCACCTTCTGCCATGATTATGAGGCCTCCCCAATCATGTGGAACTATGCGCCCATTAAACCTCTTTTTCTTTATAAATTACTTAGTCTTGGGAATGTCTCAATAGGCAGTGTGAAAATGGACTGATACACTACTACAGTGCCAACAGTAGCATAAACGATATCACGTGAAAGATACTGACTCATTTGCCATATATCAGCACTAACTGAAGTCTTATATGCACATTATTCTATTTTGTTTATTCTTTAGACCACTCCTATGAAGAAGATACTATTCTTCACTATGGAGATAAGGAAACTGAGCCTAAGGCCACAGAAAAGTAATGACAAATCTAGGTCTCAAACTGAGGCCTCTATATTTTAAGACCTTGTTCTTAACTACTATGTCATATTGTCTACTGAACTTCCAGATATAAGTTTTATACCATTGGTGGAGTTTTTGTGGAAATGTTTCAGAATAATATCAAAGACACTGGTCATTTCAATGAAAAAAATTCATGCAGTTATTGAATATTTATTTTCTCTGGGTTCAACTTTACATTACTGTGATGATGGATACCTTCATCACACTCTGGATCCCCTGAGTTTGCAATCCATTGAGAACATCAAGATAAACTCACTGGGAACAGTAATGGATAATTAAAGGCATTACTTAATTTGACACTTGTTTTTATGGGAAGTGCTTTAGGAGTTCAGAGAAGAGAGAAGAAAAAGATGGACTGGTGACATATTTTGGAGGTGGAACCCTCAGGACTTACTGATGGATTGGATGCGAGGAGAAAGGGGAAAGGAAGAGTCAAGGATTAATCCTACTTTTTTCTCATGTTTTGGCTTTAATAAAAATATAAATGATGGTACTCTTTACCAAGATATAGAAAGATAATGCAGAATCAACTTTGGGAATGTATCAGTCACTACAGTCAGAAAATGCAGTAATTCTTGACTCCTTCCTCCCTCTGACTCCAAAGCATCAAATACACCTTCACTCATTGATAGCACTGCTACACTCCTTAACCCTTGGCCCCTTTCTTCTGTACACTTCACACCTAGTCCATCAGGGTGTGAAGGTCAAGGTCAAGATTTGAAGGTGGCTGTACCTTCAAAATACATCCAAAATCTAAGCATTCTTTACCAGCTCCATTCCATTATCCTCTTCTCTTAGCTGACTTACTGCAATAACCTCTTTCTGGCTTCTATGCTTCCCTCCCTATACTCTCAACCCATAGTTAACAACACAGTAACCCCACAACAATACAGTAGGCAACAATAAAAATGATTCTTTGAAAACCTAAGTCATCTCACATCACTCCTCTGCTTGCTATTCTCCAACAGTTTCCATTTCACTCAGAGTAAAAACAATTACTGTGGTCAATAATGTAGACCCTATTACCTCTCTGAACTTGTTCCCTGCAACTCTCATTTTGGTTCTCTCTGCCCCATCCATTATGACCTTCTTGCTATTCTCATAATATCCCAGGCAAGCAACCCTTTTCAGAATCTTTACAGTGGTTTTTCCCTTGACCTGGTATATTCTTCCCCTAGGTTTCAAAATGGCTAAATTCCTTCCTTTCCTCATTCTTTGTTCAAATGTCACATGAGTGAGGTCTGCCCTGACCACCCTATTTAAAACTGCAACCTTCATACCATAATTGTGGTTTATTATCATAAAATTGAATTTATTTCTTTATCATTTATATATTTGTGTATATATTTGATTTTTTTTTTTTTTTTTTTTTTGAGACGGTTTCGCTCTTGTTACCCAGGCTGGAGTGCAATGGCGTGATCTCAGCTCACCGCAACCTCCACCTCCTGGGTTCAGGCAATTCTCCTGCCTCAGCCTCCTGAGCAGCTGGGATTACAGGCATGCGCCACTGTGCCCAGCTAATTTTTTTGTATTTTTAGTACAGATGGGATTTCACCATGTTGACCAGAATGGTCTTGATCTCTCGACCTCATGATCCACCTGCCTCGGCCTCCCAAAGTGCTGGAATTACAGGCGTGAGCCACTGCTCCCAGCCTTAATTTTATTTATTTAATAAATATATATATTTGTGTATATGTTTATTATCTATGTAATTTTGGTATACATACCATAAAATTAAATTTATTTATTTATTGTGTATTATCTGTCTCCTCCTGTTAGAATGTAAGCTTGAGAAAGGTACAGAAGTCTTGGCAGGGTGTAGGAGGCTGCAGGAGGGGCTGTTTTACTCACTGCTCTTTTCTCACTCAGAACAGTACCTCAAATATAGTAAGCACTCGGTAAATACTGGCTGTATAAATAAACATCATTCTAAAGAATTCAGACTTTATTCTAACGACAACTGAAGAGCTATCACGAGTGACAGACTCATAACTATGTTTCAGAAAGACTTCTATAGTTACAATGCAAGAGCAAGATTAGAGGGGGAAAGATTAGAGGCAAGAAGCCAATTAGGAAGTTGTGCAGCAATCCAGATGAGTAAACAAAAAATACAGCAAAAGCCAGGGCAGGAAGAGGGAACAGGGAGACATTTGTTAATGCAGAGTTAGTCTTTGTATCCATGAAGTCATTCTAACTAGCAAATGTGAAATGCTGGGGACACACCTACATCTGTCCACAGGGCTTGTCAATACTGATGCATATACATCTTTCTCCCATGGACTTACAAAGCCTGCCAACTGTATTTGCTTCAAGATGCTTAAAGAGAATGTCATGTTAACGGACAACAGTTGTTTCTCAAGGGAGTCTACAAGAGAACTGGATGAAAAGCTCAGAAATGCAACTCCACAGAAATCAGATTCAGTTCTGGAAAGATCTTGGGCCTCTGGTGGCCAATTTGGGTTTGTATTGTGGCTCTCCTACTGATAACTGCAAGATTTTGATCAGATTACCTTACCATTCTCAGCCTATTTCTTCATCAATAAAACTAACATAAGAACACTGACCACATACACATGCTGTGAAGACCAAATGAAATACCAAATCTTAAGGGGCCTAAAAGTATTCAGTATATAATAAGTACTCAGTATTAACCTCTATTTTTCCAGTCGGTGGTAGTGATTGTACTATCTATTTTTATGTCCTACAATAAATTATAATGATCAGTTCTGTATCCAACTTTTTACTTCATGACGAACTACTGGAGTGACCATATTCTTGCCTGGCCCAGTGTAATCACCCAGGAAATCTCTGTCACATGATGGAAGAAGTGAATGAATGAAGGGATGAAATCATTATCTCCATAACCTGTACTACACTGGGTACACTCTAAGTTATTCATACACCCCTTTATAGCAGAATGGCTTCCATCTTCCATAAGTGACTTCCTGAGGCTAGTCCCAGCCTTCAACATGAAGCAGGGGGCTGATAGACACTCACAATGTGTACATCCTAAAATCCCAAGAGCACATAGCAACTTGTGGCATTGTAACTTTGTGACTTAATCCAAGCCTAATTGTTCCAGAAAGCGAATGCCACCATAGCAGTGGCTTAGGAACTTGTCTTAGCCTTCTTTATCTAATGCCATCCCCAATAAAAATGACTCCATGTGAGGCAAAGAAGACCACTTGGAAAGGGTGATGGCTGAGGTCCAGTTGGAAACAGGATTTGGTATCTTGATGCAGGAACTGCATGGGGTCAGTGTTCTGTGGATAAAGTCTGGGCAAAGGCAATGCTTTTTTGCACAACTATTCTGTAAAGAATATTGGCAAGCACGAGACAAGCCTTGATGCATGATGAAACTAAAATCAATCATCCTTGGGAAGGGAGCATGTGCTTTTCTAAGAAGAAGTAAATATCAAAAAAATATCAAAAGATCCTGTCCTATTTCTTTTCCTTCATCCTGAGGATAACCAGATGTAGTTTTTTCTTTTTAATAGCAATCTATTCACATACTTAGAATGAGATACTTGCTTTGTAATAGAAGATCTGTATTTAATTGTAAAAATGAGATGAAATATCTTTTTCTCAAATCTATGGTTTATGTATATTTTTCATTTCTTTTCCTTTTCTTTTTTTAATCTTCTTTACCTTCTTTTTTCTCTCTTTTCTCATTTCCCATCACTTCTGCTTTAGTGGGTGTATGTATGACTGTGTGGCATTGTTGATACCATAAACAATGTACTACTGGAGCAGACACTCTCAGATGTGGCTTAGTAAAGAAGTATATATGCAACAAGGAACAAAAAAGATGCAGCTTTCTCTTATCATTTCCTATGTGACAACAATGTGTTTAAAACCAGAGACTATAATTTACAAGAGAATAAACAAGAATTAGTCAACGGTAATGAAAGGTGAGTAGTAAATAAACCATATTAAAAAGCCATCAATGGTGGGTGAGGAGTCTCTCCAGCTGTGATTGCTACCTTCACCTAAGTATAAAATACAGATACTGACTGTATCTATAGGTATAGTCATAGGACTTTTGAGAGTATTAATAAAATAATACATGAAAAGTTCTTAGAATTAAGATTGGAAACAAGTCTTCAAAATAACATTAGGCATGGTAATTATGGCCGTCATTCAAAGTTTAACAGAATTATGTGTATAAATCCCTCTAACAGAAAAAAATTCAGAAAGCTACAATTATTACAATTAACACTACCATCACAATAATATTTTTTTGTCTGTTTTATAACTGGCATCTCTCTCTTTGCGTGTCCTCTTTGGACTGATGATGGACAATATAATTTGTTCTTGATTCAAATTTTGTTCCATTGTGCTAGATTTTGGATTTCGTAAGATTTCACTCTCTGTAACCTATGAATCAATCAAGTCGCATGCCTATGTCCAATGAAACTACGTTGCCCAAAATGGAGCTCCGAATGAAGCTTGACAGGTTGATGGTGCAATACTAATGAAACAGATAAAAGCTAACAATTCCCATGACTGCTGTCAAAAACCACAGCGGAATATTATGATTTGTTGGTGATAGCAATGAAGAGGTCCCATTTTTTATTTAAATTCAGGCTTATGAAATAGGTAAAACCAATTTTTGTCCACAAAGATATGTCATAACATTTGGAATAAAATGGATTATATACATGGCAGTGGAGGAAACTTTGAGCCAAATGCTGGGGAAAATATTTCTGACTGATAGGGATGTTCGATGTGTATATCAAGTCTCTGAAAACCTACTGATGGACAGGTTCATGACCAATGCATTCTGCACAAATAATTGGTTTACTGGATCATTTTCCTTATTACAAAAAGCTTCTGGCTTGTGTCGTCTATGAGTTCTGGGTCTCCTAAGGGTGATTATACTATGATCGGAGGTTTAAAAGGGCTATATTTCAGTCATGGGTCCTCAATGTGCCACAAAAAGAGAAAGAATATTTAACTTAAAAGTTGTCCAGGAACAGCTGGGGGAGGGGGAGGGGCCAAAATGGCCCACTAGAAGCAGCAGCAGTCGGAGGCTCACATCAAAAAGAACCATAACAGCTTGCGAATCCTGCAGCAGCAACGGATGTATCCAGATTCTGTCATCAGAACTGACTAGTTGGCTGGTGTGACACATAGAGAGGAAGGAAGAGCTGTGTGGTGTAGTGGCCAACCTGAGAGCCACACGGGTCAGGAGAGTCCACAGTACCCGGCTAAGGGAAGCAGTGAGTGAATGTGCTATCCAGCCTGAGAAACCATGCTTTTTCTAGGGAAATGTGAAACACACGGATCGGAAGATCCCACTCATGAGCCCATGCCACCAGGGCCTAGGGTTCCCAACCACGGAGCCACACAGATTCCCAACAACCACTCAGCTAGAATCTGCTTAAGCCTGCTGAGCTCCTGAGAGGTGGCCAGCACCACAGCTGTGGCTGCCTGCTATCTAAGCCATTTGAGCTCCTTGGGGCAGGGAGCCAACAATGGAACTGATAGCTGCAAACACACTAAGTTCCCAGGGTGGGGGAAGGGTAGCAGCCATCTCTATAGCTCCAGGCCATGCTTTTCCCCTCCTGGAGCCAGGGAGGCTGGATGGCTTGGTCCCAAGAGGTATTCTCCACAGCCCAACATACCAGCTGTGGCAGACTGCCGCCAGAGTGCCTCCTCAGGCCTGATCCTGACCCATCCCTCCTTACTGGGTGGGGCCTCCCCGCAGGAACTCCAACAACTCCAGCCAGAACTCTGATCTCCCTGGGCCTGAGCCCCTAGCAGGAGGGGTGGCCACAGTCTCTGCAAACTTAGTCTTTTCTCCTGCTAGTTCTGAGGAATCTGGGCAGCTCAGACAAGTGGGCTCCACCCCCAATGAAGTACACCCCCCCCACCAAAGGACACTCAAAGTGCCTGTTAAATGGGGATCCTGCTCCCCTAGTGCACCACTGGGTGAGACACTTTAACAGGGGTTGTCAGACACCCTATACAGGAGTGTTCCTACTGGCATCAGGTCAGTGCCCCTCAAGGTCAGAGATCCCAGAGGAAGGAGCAGGCATCCATCTTTGCCATTCTCCAGACTCCTTGAGTAACATTTCCAGGCACAGGAGTGAACCACATCAACAGGGCCTGAAGGGAACCCTCAGCAAATCACAGCAACCCTACAGAAGAAAGATCTGACCATTAAAAGAAAAACAAACAGAAAGGAACAAAAGCATCAACAAAAAAAGAGTCCCCACAAAAATCCCATCCAAGGGTCAGCAGCCTCAAAGATTGAAACGAGACAAACTCATGAAGATGAGAAAGAATCAACAAAAAAACACTGAAAACCCAAAAGGCCAGAGTGCCTGTTCTCCAAATGATCACAATGCCTCTCCAGCAAGGGCGCAGAACTGGACAGAGGATGCGATGGACAAGTTGACAGAAGTAGGCTTCAGAAGGTGGGTAGTAACAAACTCCACGGACCTAAAGGAGCATGTGCTAACCCAATGCAAAGAAACTAAGAACCTTGATAATAGGTTACAGAAGCTGCTAACTATAATAACCTGTTTAGAGAGGAACACAAATGACCTGGTGGAGCTGAAAAACACAACATGAGAACTGTGTGAAGCATACACAAGTATTGATAGCTGAATGGACCAAGCAGAAGAAATGTTGATCATAATTTGAAGACCATCTTGCTGAAATGAGGCATGCAAACAGTTATTAGAGAAAAAAGAATAAAAAGGAATGAAAACCTCTGAGAAATATGAAATGATGTAAAAAGACCAAACTTATAATTGATTGGAATACCTGAAAGAGATAGGGAGAATAGAACCAAGTTGGAAAACACACTTCAGGACATTATCCAGGAGAACTTTCCCAACCTAGTAAGACAGGCCGACATTCAAATTCAGGAAATACAGAGAACACCACTAAGATACTCTAAGAGAAGATTCACCCCAAGACACATAATCCTCAGATTCTCTAAGATAGAAATGAAGAAAAAAATGTCAAGGGCAGCCAGAGAGAAAGGCCAGATCACCTACAAAGGGAAGGCCATCAGACTAACAGCACATTTCTCTGCAGAAACCCCACAAGCCAGAAGAGAGTGAGGGCCAGTATTCAACATTGGTAAATAATTTTCAACCGAATTTCATATCCAGCCAAGTTAAGCTTGATAAGTGAAGGAGAAATAAAATTCATTCCAGACAAGCAAATGCTAAGAGATTTTGTCACCACCTGGCCTGTCTTGCCAGAGCTCTTATAGGAAGCACTAAATATGGAAAGGAAAAACCGGTACCAGCCACTGCAAAAATACACCAAAACATGAAGATCAATGACACTGTGAAGAAACTGCATTAACTTGTGTGCAAAATAATCAGATAACATCATGATGACAGGATCAAATTCATATATAACAATATCATCCTTAAGTGTAAATGGGCTAAATGACCCAATTAAAAGACACAGACCGGCAAACTAGATAGAGTCAAGACCTATCAATGTGCTGTATTCAGGAGATTCATCTCACATGCAAAGACACACATAGGTGCAAAATAAAAGGACAGAGGAAAATTTACCAAGAAAATGGAAAGCAAAAAAAAAAGTAGGGGTTTCAAACTCAGTCTCTGACAAAACCGACTTTAAACCAACAAAGATCAAAAAAGAGAAAGAAGGGCATGACATAATTATAAAGGGATGAATTCCACAAGAAGAGCTAACTATCCTAAATATATATGTACCCAATACAGAAAAACCCAGATTCAAAAAACAAGTTCTCAGAGACTACAAAGAGACTGAGACTCCCAAACAATAATTGTGGGAGACTTTAACACCCACTGTCAATATTAGACAGACCAACAATATAGAAAATTAACAAAAATATTCAGGACTTGAACTAAGCTCTGAATTAAGCAGACCTATCAAACATCTACAGAACTCTCCACCCCAAATCATCATACTACCTTGTTCTCAGTGCTGCATGGCACTTATTCTAAAATCAATCACATAATTGGAAGTAAAACACTCCTCAACAAATGCAAAAGAAGTGAAATCTTAACAAACAGTCTCTCAGAACACAGTGCAATCAAATTAGAACTCAGTATTAAGAAACTAACTCAAAATCACATAACTACATAAAAATTGAACAATCTGCACCTGAATGACTCCTGAGTAGATAAAATTAAGGCAGAAATAAGGAAGTTCTTGGAAACCAGTGAGAACAAAGAGACCACATATCAGAATCTCTGAGACACAGCTAAAGCAGTATTAAGAGGAAAATTTATAGCACTAAATGCCCACATCAGAAAGCTAGAAAGATCTCAAATTGACACCCTAACATCACAATTAAAAGAGCTAGAGAAGCAAGAGCAAACAAATCCAGTAGCTAGCAGAAGGCAAACTAAGATAAGAGCAGAACTGAAGGAAATAAAGACATAAAAAACACTTCAAAAAAATCAATGAATCCAGAAGCTGGTTTTTTTCTTTAAAAAAATTAACAAAATACAGAGATAGCTAGACTAATAAAGAAGAAAAGAGAGAAGAATCAAATAGACACAAAAATGATAAAGGGGATATCACCACTGACCCAGAGATACAAACTGCCATCAGAGAATGCTACAAACGCCTCTATGCAAATAAACTAGAAAATCTAGAATGAATGGATAAATTGCTGGACACATACACCTTCCCAAGACTAAACCAGGAAGAAGTCAGTTCACTGCAACCTATGCCTCTTGGGTTCAAGTGATTCTCCTGTCTCTGCCTCCCCAGTAGCTGAGATTACAGGTGCCCACCATCATGCCTGGCTAATTTCTGTATTTTTAGTAGAGATGTGGTTTCACCGTGTTTGCCAGGCTGGTCTTGAACCCAGACCTCAGGTGATCCACCCACCCTGGCCTCCCAAAGTGCTGGGATTAAAGGCATAAGCCACCGTGCCCAGCAGAGTCCTTGTCTTTAAGGAGCTGAGTGTTCTAGAAAGAGGATTAGTAACCAATAAGAATAATAGAACATGCTAAGAGCTGGAGTTGGATCTTACAGGACAAGTAAAATTATTGAGGTGGTAAAGAACTCCCCAAGCAGGGAAAGAAGCATGTATAAAGGGGCAGAGAAGTGAAATGGCAGGAGGTATGGAGAAGCTGTGAGGAAGGCAATCTAGTGTAAATAACATGCTCATGTGTGGGACTGGAGGGGATAGACCATGAAGTGTATAATGTAGCCAGAAGATTATCTGAGCCACGTCTCGAGGGCTACAGGGAAAATTCAAGGATATGGGCTGGGGACTAACATGCCATTTTCACAAAATAGAGTATCACTCTCATCATCCTGAGAAAAATGGATTGGTGTGAGGAAAAATCAGGTGAGACGGGCTGGTTATCACTGCCTCACACATGCTGCACCTGTATAACAGGTTAGGCTGTGCACTAAGAGGATGTTAACCCTGACTCAGGGGTCTGCAAATCCTCCAGATACTGGGTATATGGGCCATGTAACAAAATGGACTCATCAATGACATAAAATTATCCATGACCCTAGTGAGAAAGTGTCAACTTACCAATTTTCCAGTAACGCTCTGACCACCTTCATTCAGCCAGAACCCAGGTACCATGGCTGAGAAATAAGGCCCCCAGACCCCTGGTACAAAAATCGGGTCTTTGCTGATCTGAAAAGAAAGACAGAAAATAACATGAAAATACTGTCTTTCAGGGGCAGGGGGAGAGTTCTCCTCCTAACTAATATTTCTATGACCATGGAATTCGGCTTCATACTGAATGACTTTTATGGTGGGGAAGTCGCTCTCTCCAAAGAAAGGCCATGGCTCCTTTTTTAAGAAACTTTCCTGATAATTCATTTAAATGTCAAGGTAATAAAAATGATCATTTTGGAAAGAAACTGATAAGATGTTTCCTTGCTGGCTCCCTCGCTATGGCAGAGATTGCAAAAGTGGTCCCCATTCTCCATTCTTCCTGGGTCAACACCATTTGCAATGAGACTTTGCAGCTCCTCACCTTGGGAGGTGGGTCTCTCTCCCTACCTCATCAATCTATGCCAGTGTTGTGACTTGTTTTGCCAAGAGAATGCAGTAGATGTGACACTGGGCCAGTTTTCTAAGCCTAGGCCTCAAGAGGCCTATGTGCTTCTATGCTGTCTTTCACTCTTCAAACTTGGCCACAAGAACATGCCCTGACAAAGATGCTGGGTGACAAGAGATGTGCAACAGAGCTGAGTCTGTTCCACTGTCTCAGGTATTGTCCCAGATATATGAAAGAATGCAGGCAACACCAGCAAATCTTCCTAGGTGACCAGCATTGACTAGCCCAGCTCATCAGAATCACCTAGCCAACCAATAGACTTGTGAGCAAAAATAAATGTCTACTGTTGTTTGTCACTAAGGCTTCATATTTGTCTGCAACTTAGCATGTGAGAGATAATAATAACTTATATAGTTTTTTTCTTTTACAAACATGTACTGCTACCTAATAGCAATCCTCTTCCCACTGGGAAAGATGAATAAGAGTTTTTACCTTCAAGAAACTCCCATCTAGTGGAGGAACTATACAAATAAATAGACAAATAGAATATGGCACGGCCCATGAGATGGCAAAGACAAAATACAGAATATTATGGATGGGCACAGGGGGTGAGGAATGTGCTAAAGGTTATACAAAGACAGAAGCCATAGTTTAACTATATACCCCAAGGCCAACTGCCCAGAGTCAAGTGGTGAAACTTAAGTCATTCTGCTTTCCCTGAGTTGCTAGTTCTAATCATAAACAAAGCACAAAACATAAGTTTTATGTCCCTGTCAGCATGATTTGATGAAATTAAAACTTAAGCTTTAGGTCCTTGTCAGCATGATTCAGGGAAATTAAATCAATCAGCTATAGACAAATCAGTTTAACAGTCGTATTTGCCCTAAAAAAAAAAAAATGTTAACATGTAATAGCCAATTACTAAAAAGGTCAAAATATTTTCTCCTTAATGCTTCATAAACTGTACTGTAACTGACATAAGGTGAGCCTCTTACCATTTGAAGTCTTGCTGAGGGCAAGCTGTACTTTTTGTTAGATAGTAAGCTTCCAAATTTCCCTAACTTGTTCTCATTTTATTTTTGACAAGTGGAATGGTACAGCAGTGGCTTGTTTGAGAACAGGACATAAGCTAAGTTTGAAAAGACTAGTGGGATTTTGGTAGATGAAGTGAAACAAGCATTTCAAGTAGAGGGAAGGGCTTGAACAAAGCCATGTCAGTAAGAAAGGTGCTCTCAGTAATCAAGATAGTGCAACGTTTTTTTTTTCTTTCCTTTTCTGTAACAGACCATAGCAGCCCCTTCAACTGTAAGGAAACTATATAAAGAGATGAACTAGAACAGGTGGGGATAGACCATGTGTTCACTCATCTGCAATGGAATGTGCTTCTCATGTATTCAGCAGTAAGGAATGTTGAAGTCACATTTATGGTCACAGAAATGTTTTGCTAGAGGGTAGGGAAGAAAAGGGAGTTAGGTATACAAGGTGTATTCCAGCAGGTTTTGAGGCTGGGCAGATAATCCATTCATTTATATATTTCACAAATATTTACTCAGCCCTTACTATGTGCTTGGTAATGTGCTAGGCCCGGAGGATACAGAAGTTATGACCAGCATTTTAGCATGGGGACAGACCTTATTTAATTGTCTTGATCTCAGCTACCCTGGTTCTCTTTTTACTAAACTAGCAATTCCTCAAATCAGTAGGATTCCCAACCCCAAAATGGGAAGGAGGTGAAGGAAGGCAAAAACAAAAACAGTGTAACATTGTCAAATTTAAATTTTGTCAAATTAGGACAAATTTTCATAATGAGCATTTTAATTTCTAAAATAGGAAGAATAATCTCAGGGAGAAAAAAGATAGGCTTTCACAAGAAAAGTAAGTTCAGCTTACATTAACATATACATTCATTTCTTTACTGGTTCAATAGATGGTTCCTGAGTTTCTAGTCTAGGTCTGTGCCAAGCACAGAGATAAATGGTAAACAAGAGCACAGTCCCTGTCCTCATAAAGCAACCAGTCTTGAGAGGGAAGCAGACCAGGGTGACCAATTACACAGGTTTGGCCAGGACTCTCCCAGTTTCAGCACTGAAAGTCTTGCCTTCTAGAAAACCCCTCAGTCTCAGCCAAACTGAAACAATTGGCTACCCTAAGACAAACATTAATCAAATCATTACACGAATATGTAATTACCAACTGTGAGAAGTAAATAAGGGAAAGCCAAAAGGTATTATGCAAGCACACAAGTGAGATGTCTAATTCAGTCTAGGTGACAGAGAATGCTTCTCCGAGGAAATGACATATGAATTAATATGTAAAACATGCATGGAAATTATGCGGGTAGGTGAGTGTAAGTGTGGTGTGTATATGAGAGAGAGAATGCACGAGTAAGCTATGGAGAATGTTCCAGCCACAAGGAGCACATACTAACTGGTACTTTTTTCACCACTCTGCCTTTCTTTGCCCTGAGAAAATTTTATCACATGCCAATTCTAGAAGTTTATTATTCTAAGTCCCAGAGCTTCTTTGGGGTGAATGAGGCAGTCCATATTCATTCACTCCGTTTGTGCCCACTTAGGACCCAGGGTTTGCAAAGGCAGAGCCCATGGCTTGCACAGGTACAGCCAAAGCCAAGTCATCTCTTTCTGTGTCCACACCCTCTTGCTTCCAGAACTCCTGGCCCAATTTGACAGATTTGTCCCCGAGTGGTTGTGTAAGTTGTCCATGGTGAGTACATGAATGACCACAGTGGGATCTGAACTGAGGCAGATGTTGATCTCAAACTCTATGATAATGCTCTTTACTTGTATACATACATTGCTTAGGAAGGATACACGTCATCTCCCTCCTTCCTACCCCCTGTCTCACAATTTGGGACATCAGCTGCAGCAAGACTTCATTAGAAGATTACGGCTTTGCTGCTCAGAAATGTCAGAGGATGGGTTTGCTTGGCTCTGTTCAGGGAGAAAGTTTTGAGTTGATCTCTGTTTGTCCCCACTCATCTGGAATATCACATGCTTCTCTTCAGACATGCTGTGTAAAGCAATGAAACAAAGAGTACTTCTAATCACTCTCAACCCTGTGTTCTTAGAAGAATCTAGGAATAGTGTGTTTTGAGAGAGAAAGAGAATGCACATTTGTGTACTTATGTGTTGTTTAATTCTTTGCAACAAACCTAAATATTTAAAAATCTTTTTGTGAAAGCTCCTTCCATGCTGATTGCTATCTTGGCCTGGAGGCTGCTCCATGACCAAAGGGAAGCTCATTGTACAACACTGATGACAGGTGTCCTTACAGGATACTGACTTCCCAGTAATAACGGTGGTGTTGGCAGCAACAACAATAGGTAACACTTACTGTTTACTTAGTAAAGGCCTGATTCTAAGCATATTACAGGTATTAAATCACTTAATCTTCACAATAACGCTAAGGGAAAATTCTGTTATTATTCCTATTGTACAGATATGTAAACTGAGGCAGAGAAGTAAATAACATGCCCAGCGTTACAAAAGCTAAAAGCAGTCAGGCATCAGGCTCTATATATTTGTCTCTGCCAAGTTATGGTCTTATTTTTAGGCTACAATTACTTTTTTGAGTCTTTCATCTGTCTTTGAAGAGCATAAAGCAAGGGCCATTAGAGCCAACATAGATTTACTCAAACTGAACATAACCTCCTGGCCTTCATGACAAGTAGGTTAGGGCATCTTCATTTCTAAAAAGTTTCAATAAGTCTTTCCTGATATACCAGCGAACAACAGAGGAGAAAGCATGAGTTGGGACAAAGATCCATTGTGATTCTAGTCCTGACTCTGCCAAATTCTCAGCCAGGTGATCTTATGCAAGGTAGCCTTTCTGAGCCTTAAGTTTCCTCAACTCCAGAATGGGAGGAACGACATGAATGCTGGAGGACTTTTGTGAAGATTAAGTAAGCTGCCACGTATAAATGGTTTATTATATATGTTAAACACCAAATAAATCTTAGCTCTCCTTGAAATGAGGCTTATATGATGGAATTGTCACATGACTGGCTGAACAACCATAGGCAACAGTAATCAAAACCATGTACGGGGGTCACTAGATTCCTCCTTGGTGTTATTTCAGTCAATATACTTTATAATGGAGTAGGAGATGATATAGAAGAAAAGCTTATCATATTCTCAGATGCTAACACTTGGAAGAATAGCTTATTATGGGACATGTTCAAATCAAGATTCAAAATTACCTTAAAGAGCTAGAACACTAAGCAAAATTAAGAAAACAGATAACATTTATTTACTTATATAGTTAAAAACTTACATGTAAAAGGTATTGCAAGTATTCTCTTTCATAAGCTTGGTGGTGGGAATACTGGTGTTCATTTTGGTATTTTGTTTAAACTATGCTTAGACATTTGGTGTACTCTTTGTGCTTGATATAAATATCATTATAAAGACTTCAAAAACAACAAATAAAAACATTTGGTTGTATACTATTGAGCTCAATAAGGCTGTAAAACTAAGGCAAAATACTACTACTAATAATAAGGTGGCATAGTCCCTTTCCTCAAAAAGTTCCTAATCTGACAGGGCAGCCAGGTAGAAATAAAAAATAAAAAAACATACCAAGTGCTACAAAAAAGGTAAAAGAGGAGTGT